CAGTGATGAGATTATAGGCATATGCTATCATCTCCTACTTACTTATTGAACTACACACCGAGATACTGCCTCTTTAAAAAAAATTAACAAAACACAAAACAACAAGCCAGGTGTGATGGTGCGTATCTGTAATTCCAGCATTTGAGACACTGAGGCAGGAGAGTTCCCTTGAGTTTGAGGCCAGCATGAACTAAAAAGTGAGAACCTGCTTCTAAATAAATACACACACACACACACACACACACACACACACACACACACACAGAACGTATAGGAAATAATTGTTTTCCTTCCAAATATAGAAATGAAAGGAGCATCCAAGTGTGCACACAGCCTGCAGCAGCCAGATGGTACACACCTATAATCCCAGCACACTGAGACTGAGCCAGAAAGATCAAAAGCCTAAACAATTTAACAACTTAGCAGAAACTTGACTCAAAATAAAATAAAATTTTTAACAAAAGGGTTGAGGATATAGTTCAGTATGAATGCCCTACATTCAAATCCCAGTACCACCAAAACGCAGAAGAAAAAATAGCATACAGGAAAAACAGTGAATGAATTAAAATAACAGTCATAACACAAAAGTTACTCTGTGCTAATGGTTCTTCATCTCCAACTGAGAGGCTCTAGATCATGAGCCCTGTGCTCAATAAGCTGCCAGTATAGCCACTATCAACAACTGCTAACACCTTAGCCAGGGGCTCCAGGATCCACTGAGTAGCTATAAGGCCACCTATAATAACATCCCTAAGACTTACACCTGTTTTGGGGCTGGAGATTTACCTCAGCGGCATAAGCACCTGCCTTGCAAGCAGCAGGCAGTCGTGAGTTCGATCCCCAGTACCGATAAAAAGGAAAAAGACAAAAAAAAAAAAAAGACTTACACCTGTTTCAACCCTAATCCCTAAAGATCATGTAAACCAAGTAACCAAAACACCACTTTACCATCTCAGAAAAGTGACCACCAGAGACTTTGAGCAGAGGCCCCAGGCCCCAGCTGTGGCTACTAGATGGTGTTTCGGTTTTGATTATTTGAGACAGAGTCTTACTATATTCAGGCTGGCCTTGAATATATGGTAATCCTCCTGGCCTCACCCTCAAAAGTGCTAGGACTATAGGCTTATACCACCATTCCAGACTAGTACGGTGTTTATATTTTCTTTTTATTACTTTTCTAATATGGTGTTTTTATATATTAAAAAAAAGTGATTTAGGCCTTAAAAACAAAAGCTATAGCTAAGAAACAAAGAATGAGTATACATACATAACATTTACTACCAATTTACTTATCACAGAAAAAAAGGAAACAACCTAAATGTTAAATAACAGAGGAACTAGCTATATAAGGAAATACTATTCAAAATTTTTAATAGTATTTTTAAAAACTGCACTTTTAAGAGATGTAGCTCCATGGTAGAGCACTTGCCTAGCACACGAGGTACTCTGTTGAGTCACTAGTATACCAAAACAAAGGCGGTTGAAAGTCATGAAATGCGTGCCTATAATCTCAGCTACTTGAGAGGCTGAAACCTGAGGATTGCAAATTGGACTCTAGCCCCAATTACAGCAAAAGTCTGCTTCAAAACACAAAACACAAGCCAGGCTTGGTGATGCACACTTGTAATCCTAGTACTCAGGAGGCTGAGACAGGAAGATCACCAAGAGTTCAAGGCCAGCCGGAGCCACATGATGAGTTTAAAGTCAGCCTAAACTACAAAGCAAGAACCTGTCTCAAAAAACAAGAAACAAACAGCTAAAAATACACACCATAAAAAACTACAAAGAACCTATAATCACCAAAATTTTTTTTGAGAAAGAGTAACACTAGCTGGCATGGTGGTACACGCCTATAGTCCCAAAATTCTGCAGACTTAAGGTAACAGCACTGATGGTTACATCATGGCAATCCTCCTGCCTTGGTCTCTCAAATGCTGGGACTACAGGCATGCACACCATGCAGGGTGATCATATTTTCAATAAACTTTACAAAATAAAATCTTTCCGTGGTACCTGGAGGTATAGACCACAGTCGAGGCACTGTGGAGGCCTAAGGCAGAAGGAACACAAATTCAAGTGCAATCCTAGTACAGGCAAAGCATCAATTTAGCAAGAAAGATCATGTCTCAAATAAATTATGCCAGGTGTGGTGGCGCACAGGTGCCTTCCCAGAATTTTGGAGGCTGAAAGATGACCTAGAGTTTGAGGTCAGCCTGAGCAGATCTACATGGAGGGAAGTGGAGGTGAAAGGAGGAAAGGGGATGAGGAGGATGTCACATTCTATTTTACTTTTCTCTTGTTGCTGACACAAAATACCCAACACCCACAAAGGTAACAGAGGAAAAGTATTAGCCCATACTCTGTAGAGGTTTCAGTCTATAAAGAGCTGGCTCCACAGCAGGAAGGGTGGCACATGGCAGAGGAGCAACAGTTCATGATAGGCACAAGGTAGCAAAACAAGGAGAGGGAGACTGTAACAGCTTTTTTCTACCCTTTTTATACTCTATTTAGGCTACTGGGACTAGAGCAGTGCCAAACTAATCAGTGAACTGCTTTAGTTACCACATTTCCTTAATTCTCAGTATCATACACTCCAGATTTAGCCACCTCTGAAAAAGCTCCACCTATGACATCATGAGGGCTTTGGAGGCCATTAGCCACAAAAGTTGCTCAGTATTGGGGCTGGGCATTTAGCTCAGGGGCATAAGTGCCTGCCTTGCAAGCAGGCAGTCATGAGTTCGATCCCCGGTACCGATAAAAATGAAAAAGACAAAAAAAAAGTTGTTCAGTGCAATAGTCATCCCCAATACCGAGAAAAAGAAGGAAAAACCAGAAACAAAAAGAGAAACTTCTGGGTGCGGGTATAGCTCAGCAGCACCGCGCCTGCCTGACAAGCGAAAGGCCCTGAGTTTGAGTCCCCCTCAGAAACCCACCCTGAGGCTAGAGGATCACCAAGTTACCGAGTTTGAAGCAAACCTGGGCTACATAGCGAGAACCTGTCTCAAAACAAAACACAACTAAAAACAGAAACTTCTATTCAACACCATGGTCAAAAAAACCCTGAAAGGCAAGCCACAAAGCTGGGGTGAAGCCTTGTGTAGACTGCTTGCTTTTTACTAGCCACAAGGTATTAGGTTTGATTTCTAGTTCTGCATATTTTTTTAAAATGAAACTTATGACTGGGGGAAATATTTATACAATAGATATGAGCCTAATTCTTGTATCATGTTCGTAATTTTGTTAGGTTTAGTTTTATTCTGTCTTGTTAGATTTTACTGTGTCTGATGGTATGGACAACTATTTTGAAGGTAACAGGATATATTATGGTAACTATGGTTGATTTCCTATTATTTTGAAATTCTATAATGTTTCATTCCTTTAATTGGTTTTATTATTTTGATGTTATTATGTGTGATGGTATGAACAGTTATTTTGAAGAAAACATGGGGTATTATGGTAGCTATTGTTCATTTCCTATCATCTTGTTTTGAAGTCCTATGTTTTCATAGGACTGTTCTTTTCTTTTGATTGATTTTAGTCTGTCTCCTATCGTGTGATTTTATTATATGTGAGGGTATGAACAGCTATTTTGAAGAAAACAAGAGATATTATATAGCGATTGTTCATTTTCTGTTATCTTGTTTTGAAGTCCTGTGTTGCTGTTGCTTTTGAAGTCCTGTTGTGATTTGCTTTGTTCTGTTTCGTTCTCTTTAAAATAAAAAGACAAAAAAAAGGAGAAAGTGGGCAAAACAGTTCATACACTTTACAAAGAAATCAAAAAGCACATGGGAAAATGGTCATCATGAATTATCAGGAAAACAGTATTTAAACCACAATTAGACACTCCTGTATGTAACAGAGCATCTGAAAGACTAAATATGCCAAGTATCATTAATATTATTGAGCAACTTGAACATTCTCATCCATTGCTGATGGGAATGTAACCACTTTGGAAAACAGAATGAGTTTAAGAATCTAAACACACTGTAATTTATCCTCAAGTATTTACAGAAGCCACATGAAAGCATAATATCCACAAGACTTGCAAACAAATACTCATAGTAGCTTTATTCACAATGTTGAATAGTTGGAAACAACTTAAATATCCACTCACAAACAACAGTTGTGCTAGTACAACAAAATATGACTAAGCCACAAAAAGGAACAAATAGGGCTGGGGATGTAGCTCAGCAGTACACTGCTTGCCTGGGAAGCAGGAGGCTGTGAGTTTCAGGCTGGTACAGTGAGGGGTAGAGGGAGACAAATGGCTACACAATGTGTTCAAAGCCAGCCTGAACTGCACGGGGAGACCATCTCAAAAAAAGGAACAAAATACTGTACGCACAATGATATGAAATCGCAAACACTCTGTTAAGCAAAAACCGGAGTATTATAATATTTCATGTAACACTACTTACTTTGTAAAGTAACAAATTAATACTTGGTTTATGGAAGGAAGAACAATGAGGAATAGCTGGAAACTGAACACAAAGCTTCTGCACAGTTACATAGCCATTTTTTCTTTCTTTAAAAAGGGCGGGGGGGGGGGGGTTGGCTATTTTCCCTGGCTTCAATTTATGATCCTCCCACATCAGTCTCCCAGAGTACCTTGAAAGGCCTGTGCCACATCATCTGGCTGGGTTTTTTTGTTTGTTTGTTTTTTAAATGAGAGCTCATTCTGCAGTCTAGGCTGTCTTCTCCTGCCTCAGCTTCTGTAGTGCTGGGATTATATAAATGTATCAAATATCTGGCTTCAAATTTCTTAAAGGGTTATTATATATGACTCCTATGTACACGTGAAAAATGAACAAAAATGCAAGGCCAGCCTAAACTATAGAGCAATACTGTCTCCAAAAGAAAACTTTAATCATAGTCATTGATACTCATTCAACACCTACCTTACCGTATGCCAAGACAATATAAATTTCAAAGAAAGACAGAATTCCAGAACACAGAACAGCTCATATATACAGGACAGAAGAAAAACATTAAAAACTTACGTTGTCAGCAAGAAAGCCCCATCACCACATCTCTCCAGAGCCTTTCGTGCAGGAGGTTTTGCTGCAAATTCTACAAAACCTTTTCCTGTAGCTCTACCTCGATCATCCACAACCACAACAGCTTTCTCTACTGGGCCAAACTGGGAAAATGCTTGCTCTAGAAGCTCATTGGAAACGACTGGAGAAAGGTTCTTGACAGTTAGAGCCGCTCCATGTGTAGCAAAGCGAATTCGCAGTGGTCTGCTCTTCAAAATGGTGCCATCCAGTTCTGCTTTTGCAATTTCAGCCAGTGTTCTGGATTCCTTTTTAGGAGGAAAAATCATTTTTTAAAGATAGTAACAAAAAAATCAAAATAGTGATCTGTTTCTAGGAAGAACTAGGCAGGTTTTGGAAATGTATGATCAAGTTTCTTTGTTTTCCTTTAACTTTGTTATCTGGTGCTATTAGGTATTCAACGATATCTGTAATTGTTTTAGTTCCAACAGGTTAAAAGTCATCACTTAAATTGCTTATACACGAGTTACCAGCTTTTAAATCCCAAAACAGTATCTTTCCAAAATCTACAGGTTAAAACAAATTATTTTCTTAAAACCAAGTGCCAAGGGGGCTGGGATTTAGCTCAGCAGCATAAGCACCTGCCTTGCAAGGAGGCGGTCGTGAGTTTGATCCTTAGTACTGATAAAAATGAAAAAGACAAAAAAAAAAAATCTTTTGTGTTCTCAGTACTGGTATCTTGTTGGGTATGGTGGTGCATACTGTAATCGAAGGACTCAGGAGGCTGAGGCAGGAGGACTACTGGTCAGCCTGGTACTACACAGTGAGACCTTGCCTCAAAAAAAAAAAAAAGGTATTTTTACAAAGCATTCACCTCTCCAAGGTCAGCAAAGTCCCTTTTCATTTCCATTTCTTTTTTATTTTATCTATAAAAACTACCATTAGATCCTATTAATCATTCCTCGTGAAATACGTGCATGGGTTGCACGTTCTTTACCATCACTTGGAGAAAAGAACAAGTGCACTCATTATGACTGTAACAGTTCTTTCCACGACAGAAAGAAACAAGTATACATAAGCACTCATTCATAAGCTACACAATATGCACAGGGCCAAACCCATTACAGGTATTTTTTACCTTAAAAATTCGAAGTTGATATTGAATAGTGATGGAGAGCTAAGTGGCTTATTAGTAGAGCACTTGCCTAGAATGTGCAAGGCCCAAGACAGGAGGGGAAGGAGGTGTTGGATAGCATATACAATACAAGCATCAAAGACAATAAATAACCAACTCGTAAATTCCTGAAAGACAAGTCTTGAACTCTGGATAGAGCCTGGACTGACCTTGAGTGGGGTACCACTCCTGCTAGAGGGGTATTTTTTTTTACCAATATAAGTGATTTATTTTTCTTGTATCTTTTTACTTAACACATTCACTACAACTTGTGGACACCTCCTTACTAGAGCTTTTGACTTTCAACTGAAGAGGTTTTACATGCTTATGTAAGAATACAAATACAATTGAATGCAGGTATCTTGTGCTCTGGGTGAATGATTTGGGGAAGACAGTGCAGTTTATGTATGCTCTAATTGACGCACACTGAAATTTTGTTGTATTTTTCTTTTCCTTTTTTCTTTTCATTCTTCAATAAAATAGATTTGACAAAAAAAGAAAAAAAGCATCAAACAATCAAAAAAAATACAAATACAATACCTTAATGAAAATGTCTTAAGGTCACAAAAGCTCTTTCCCCTCAAACCTCGCCACACACACACATACACATAGGGAACTGAATCCACTGGGGCTCTATCACTGAGCTACAATCCCGAATTTTAACTTTATTTTCAAACAGGCTTCCACTAAGTTGACTTAACTTTCGATACCTGTCTCAGCTTCCCAAGTAGCTAGAATAACAGGTGTGAGCCATAGTGCCTAGCTTCTCAAGAGCTCTTTATTGTCCTCGGTACCGACAAAAAGGAAAAAGACCAAAAAAAAAAAAAAAAAAAGAGCTCTTTATTGTGGCTGGGGATTTAGCTCAGTGGCATAAGCTCCTGCCTTGCAAGCAGGCAGTCGTGAGTTCGATCCCTGGTACCGATTGAAAAAAAAAAAAAAAGAGCTCTTTATTTAATCTGTAAAATGTTCACAACAGATTGAAGTCACTGCCCTTATGCAAATACTGTACCTATCCACACAACAAATTTTTACAAAAGCAAATGAGGTTAACCTTTTCAGAGATATTCATAACACAATCACATTATTTTTTTTGTTCTTACTCAATATCAGCAGCAGCAAAAAGCTGAATGACTAAAAACTATCAGGAGGCAGAGGATGGTGGACCAGGCCTACAATCCCAGCCCTGAGGAGGCTGAAAAAAGGAGGATGACTCTAGCTGAAAGCCGGTCTGAGCTACGTAGTGAGTTCAAGGGCAGAATGATGTAACCAGACCGTCTCAAAAATAGTGAGGGGCCAGGGATTTAGCTCAGTAGCATAAGCACTTACCTAGCAAGCACAAGTCATGAGTTTGATCCCTGGTACCAAAAAATAAAAAAAAGTTACTATGTTAACTTTTATGTCATATGATCTAACAACTCCAAAAGGTAGATTTTAGGAATGGAGTCTTGAACTAAAACACTATCAGGTAGAACTGCAAACAGGAAGCAATTCCATGAGACAGTAATAAAACTCTGTATTCTTATAGCAGTTAACGTCAAACACAAGTACCCATCTGTGAAAACTCACTAACCAATATACTTAGAATCTGTGACTTCTGGGGCTGATGATACAGTGAAGTGGTGGAGCACTTGGCCTCACATTTACCAAATCCCTGGGCTCAATTCCCAGCATCGCAAAAAGGAAAAGGGGAAAAAAAAGTGCGTTTCACTATGCATAAATTTGAAATATCCTTAAAACAAATAATCCTGAACCAAGACGCAGTGACACATGTATCGATATAACCCCAGCAAGAGACTGAGATTCAATTAAGTGAAACGTTCCCAAGAAAGGGAGGGAGAAAGGTAGAGAGAGAGAGAGAGAGAAGAAGAAGGAGGAGGAGGAGGAGAAGAGGAGGAGAAAGAAAGAAAAAGAGAAAGAAAAAGAAAAAGAAAGAAAGAGAAAGGCTGCGGATAAGGGACAGGGCACACATCTAGCATATGTAATGCCTTAGGTTCAATCTCCAGTACCTAAAAAATAAAATTAAAATGTAAAAGGAGTGAAGTATGAAGATCAGTGGCATGGCATGCGCTTAGGTAAGCCTGATGCCCTCAATTCAATCTCCGGTACAAACAAACAAACATTTTGTAACTTCCATTTTTAAATGACTCTAAACCAGGATCTTTCTCAGCCTCAGCACCACCAATCTAATTGGCCATATAACTCTTGTTAGGGGGACCTATTCTGTATAATAAACTTTTGTAAATGAGTAGGATAGGAGTTGAAGGGAGAGTACAGGAATGAAAAAAAAAATCAAAATATATCATGTAAAGGTACAAATTCCCTACAACAAATGTGATCACTATGTATACCTAAAATGTATCAATAAACTTAATTTTTAAAAATCTTATCTATCAATTAATTGGAAAACTTTAACCACTACTTTAAGAAAATTTATTTGCATCTTAGGGGCTGGGGATTTATCTCAGCGGCATAAGCACCTGCCTTGCAAGCAGGCAGTCGTGAGTTCGATCCCCGGTACCAATAAAAAGACCAAAAAAAAGAAGAAAAAAAAAAAAAGAAAATTTACTTGCATCTTAAAGATTAGTTACTGAATTAAAAAGTATTTCCCAGAACATAAGCCAGATAAAATTACACCTTTTATTTTATTTTTTGGCACAATACTGGAGAATGAACCCAGAACCTCTACATTAAACATACACTTTCTTTTTTCAGAGGCAGGATCTTGCTAAGTAGTTCAGGTTGGCCTTCAACTCATTTTACAAGTCCAGACTGGCCCTGAACTTGCAGATATCCTTCTACCTCATCCTCCTGTGTGCTAGATTACAGACAGGCACCACCAAGGTTAGGCACAGCCTTATTTCTTTTTTAGGCTTTTGAAGGATTGTTTTGTTTTTGTTTGAGAGAGAGTCTCACTATATAGTTCAAAATGGCCCTGAACTCTTAAGTAGCCTAGGTGGTCTAAACTTCCTTTAATCCTCCTGCTTCAGCCACTGTAGTACTGGGATTATACAGGTTTCAGGTATGTACCTGGCTAAACTTTAAAGCTATCTTTAGGGTTCTAATTGTGTACACTAAATTCCAATTTTAAATTAACAAATCTTTACTATTCCTATACACACAATTTAGGGTGATAGATTTGGAAGAATGTATCCCAAAGAACAGATAACACCAGCTCTTCACCTTCTATTTCACAATGCCACAAAAAACTTTTCATGAACAGGAGAAAAGGCATTGGTTATTCGGTCCCACAAACTAGTCGCATATGGCCTTAATTTACTATACAGCCCAGGTTGGCCCTGAACTTGCTGCAATCCTGCTTTAGCCACCCCAGTGCTAGGATTATGGGCTACAGATGTGTGCCTAAATAAAGAAAAAATTTTTTAAAAAATTTTTGGGAGACCAGAGATTTAAACTCACGACATCCCACTTGGCAGGCAGGCATTTATGCCACTTGAACTAAACCCGCAGCCCAGAAAAAATAAAATTGTAAATGCACTATTTTAAGTGTTAAACTCATGTGTGGAGAATTAAGTATATATGTATTTTTAAATCAGCTGGGTACATCTGTAATTTCAGCAGTTGTATAAAAATTTGAGCCCTACATGGGTAACAAAGCAAAACCCTGCCTCCAAATAATTTGTACTGCTAATCAAACTCAGAACTTCACACTTGTCAGGCTGGCACTATGGTGTAGAGTTATATCCCCAACCCAAATAAAAAATTTTAAAAGGCTGGGTACCCTTTGATCTCCCTCCTCTTGAATGTCAATTTCAGAAAAAAGTGCCACAAGCCACAAGCTGAAGATCATGAAACTATTACATAAAATCATATTGGAAAGTTTACCAAAAGCCACTTATAATGTGTAAGCTACAGATTCACCTTCTCCACTGTTAGTGGGAATGCAGACTGGTGCAACCACTCTGGAAATCGGTGAGGAGAGTCCTCAAAAAACTAGGATTGGGGGCTGGGGATTTAGCTCAGCGGCATAAATGCCTGCCTTGCAAGCAGACAGTCGTGAGTTCGATCCCTGGTACCGGTAAAAAAAAAAAAAAAAAAAAAAAAACTAGGATTGGCAGTTCCATTCAACCCAGCTATCCCTTTTCTGAATATCTTCCCAAATGAATTAAAAACGTATCACATTGATGCTCGTGCACCCATTTATTACAGCACAATTTATAATAGCCAAACATTGGAAACAACTTAAAGGCCTATCAACTGAGGAACAGATAAAAAAGATGTGGTATTTTTATACAATGGAATACTATTCGGCCATGAAGAAGGATAAACAGGAGATTTATAGGTAAATGAATGCAACTTGGGAACAGTGAAATAAATAAGACCCACGAGTAAACATCATACTGCTTCATTAGAGTGACAAGCTGAAAGAAAAAAAGTATGTATATGTGTATGTACATGTATATAAAAAATAGTTGAAAACAACTGTATTACTTATTACTCTGAGTTCACTGAAAAGAAAGATTTGTGCTGATAGCGTTTGGACAGTTGAATGCAGAAATGATTTGAGGATGACAGTGTGCAATGTATGTACCATTGTTGCCCCAATTGATGTGGTTTTTTTTTTTCCTTTTTTTTTTCTTTTTATCCTTGAATAAAACGAATTTGAAAAAAATTTTTTTAAAGCAATGGGTTCAATCTGCAGCACTGGAGAGAAAAGAATCATAGCAGTGGTGGCCACTCTACAGTGCAGAAAGCTCCCCATTCCTATCACTATAGACTATTCTACTGAACAGTGCTGACATGGTAAAGGAAAAAAGAATTGTCTATTACTAATAGCTTTAAAAGAAAGATTGGCCCATGGCAATAAAATATTTGTTGGTTTTTTGGTGCAAGGCTTTCAAAACAGAAGGGGGAAATGCAGCTCCTCTGATCTTCCTCTTCTAGAATGTCAATTTCAGAAAAAGTGTCAGAAGCTAAAGATGAACCTATTACATAAAACCATATTGGAAAGTTTACCAAAAGCAGCTTATAATAAATACTCTATTGTAGAAATCTACCTTTTTTTTTTGGGGGGGGGGGATACAAGGTCTCACTAGTACTGCAGGCTGGCCAGAACTCACTATGTAGCCCAAATCGGCCAACTCTCAGCTATGCTCCTCCCCTGCCCTCCAGTGAGCTGGGATTACAGACATGTACCACCATGCGTGGCAAAACTTTTTTTAAGATAATTTCTGTCGGTTTTTTACATCTCTTGTGGCACTGGGGATGGAACTCAGGGCCTCGGGGAATGCAGCTGAGTGCTCCACCAATGTGCTACATCCCCACTCAGTTCAACTTTTGCATTTGTATTAAAAAATCTCACTGAGTAACAAGCTATTTATCTACTATTCAAAAGAAAAGTGCGTTTATAATTCTATGTTCAGAATGTACTGGTTATTTAACTTAAATTTCCAAAGCCCTATGTCTCATTACTAATACTCGTGAATATTGACTGCTCACTTAAGAGATCACATATGCTCCCCGAAATACAGCACCAATTCATTACACTCAGCTTTCTCTACATTTAAGTTTGTAAATATAATACAAGCTGCTGTTGATACAAGCAAAGAACCTGGTTTTGAAAGAAAAAATTTCAATAAGGAAGCTTCCACAAGCTGCAACGACTAGCAATTTTGAATGTCTAAAAAAATAAAAGAACAATCACTTAGGTAAAAAAAACACATCCCTATAGACTGGAGTGGTGGTCCACTCGAGATTTGTCTGGACTATATCCAGAGTGCCCCTGACACTGATGTACACACCAAAAATACACAGGAAAACCTAACGAAAGTAATTTGTTCTATGAGTAAAACTCTGTCTAAATGTAAAATTAAAAGGCAAAAACATACTGGAAAATTTTTCAAAAATTAAGACTCCAAGACACATGACGTTTCGTGCCAAGAAGAGTAGGTCACAGTAGCATAGGAGCCCTCCTCTCCCCGCGCCAGCCCTGCAGAGCGCCGCGGAGACTCAGCCGACACCTACCCATTCAGCGCGGCCCGCACTGCGCCGCGCTGCCCAGCACTCCTGGGCGCACGCAGGGCACCCTGAAGTTTAGGGTTAGTGAATCTGATGGAGGCCACCGTGAAAGAGCACGCTAGGAGACTTCCGAGGTCATTCTTCAGAAGTCGGTCTCCTGCCGGTGCTCGTGGCCCGCTCCAAGTTCGCCTCCGAGCCATTTCCCCTCCATCACCGAACTCAGCCTACAGAACGGTCCCCGAGTGCCCTCGCCCCGGCGGCCGCGACTCACCAGGCGGATGAAGCCGAAGCCGCGGTCCCGGTTGATGAAGACCTCGCTGGGCTCTCCGTAGCGCTCAAAGAGCCGCTTGAAGTCTTCCTCGGTGATGTCGGTGGGCAGGTTTCCCACGAACAGGCGACAGCGCTGCGTGTAGGTCTTCTCGCCCGGCTTGAGGAAGCTTTTGATGTCGATGGTGAAGCCCATCTCCTCCTCTGGGCGGTCCTCCGGGGCGGCGGGCGCGGGCGGCGCCTGCTCCCCGGCCAGCGCCAGCGCCATGGCCGCGGGCTCGCCGTCTCCTGCCGCGGACTCCAGCGCGCGAAGGCGGGCAGGGTTCTTCTCAATGCGTACTTGCTTCAGGTTTCCTCTTAACATCATCTCCGCGGACTAGCCTCGGCACCGGGCAGAGGCCTAGACTTCTAAATAGCTGCGTCTCTCCTTGTATCTACGAAACTGAGGCAAGGACAGCCAGGACAGACGGCCAGGGGACCCCTAAGCAGCCTCGCTTGCCAGACACACAGAACTGACGACCGAACATTCAAAATGGCGCTGCCTCAGCCGAAGTTGGAAGAGAGGCCGACGTTAGCCCCGCCCCTCCGCCAAGGCCGCGGTGCGCCTGCGCACGCTGTGCGCCAACGGCCTTGGAGTAGAGTGGCGTGTATGCGGTTACGGGAGCGCTCCCCACGCAGCCTTCCGCTGGGGTGGGAGTCGCAGCTTCCGGTGTTCCAATGTGCGCTAGTGGTGGGAGAATGGGATGAGTCTTGTAATGTAATCAGCAGTGAGTGCAAAGGCAATGATTTGGGGAACATCTTTACTTTTTTAAGTTTTTAAAATTTGAAAGTATGTAAGAGTTACATTCATGGTGGGAAGTTGCTACATCTATATAACACATCTCATTTCATTCTATTTCTCTCCTCTCCCTTCAACCACAGTTTTTTTGTTTTGTGTTTTTTTTTATTTAAAGAGAAAAAACAGAAGTGTAGAAATAATACAGAATTTCAGAAAAATAAATAGTAAAAAATTACTAGTTGAAAAGTTACATATTGTCGTCTTAGAAATAGTTGTTCAAGTTACAAAATTAAAGCATACAAAGTGATATTCAAATAACCACACTGCAAACACTTCTGCTCAATGATCCAACAAAAAGTTAGTAATATGGTTAGTCCAACACACTGTTTTTTATCTTAAAGAAGGTAAGATTTTTTTTTTTTTTTTTTGTCTTTTTCCTTTTTATGGGTACCAGGGATTGAACTCACCACTGCCTGCTTGCAAGGCAGGCACTTATGCCGCTGAGCTAAATCCTCAGCCCCAAAGAGGGTAAGATTAAACATGTCAAAACAAAACAAAACAGTTCATAAGGAAACAATTTAAAGAAACACAGATTTCAAAGCAAATCCACTGCAGATCTTCACTGTCTACTGTCTAGAGTTTTCTTCCAAATAGTTGTCCCCATCTTCACACAGATTGAATATATACTGAACATTATAGAATGAATCAAATCATTACAGGATGATGAAGGCTTTTAGGTCTTCAAGACCTGATTTGGGGGTAGTCAATAATGACTACCATAATGTCTCTCATTCTCTTCAAAGTAGCTGTCTTTATATTTATGTATGCCGAAATTGAACATAAGAGTCTAGACTAATATCACCCTGAACAGTGAATAATTGGGTTTCTTAGTGTCTCTTTTTCTTTAGAGTATCCGTTCATTACATCGTGTATTATATGTTTCCGTAAATAGTTTAGAAATTCTTCCCATGTGTGAATCTTTACATGTATATCTATTCTTTCTGTATTTTAGGGAAAAACAAATCAAAACAAGACAACAAAACAAATACCTAGAAAAACACGAAATGAAAAGGACATATAAGACCACGATATTAGGTAATCTACAGTAATTACTATGCTTTCTCTTGTTATTTTCAATAGAATTGTCCACATTATCAGACATTATATAGTCAAGCATAGCATTACATAGCTATTTTTATAAAAACACAACTTTGAAGACATTGTAGGACTTGAAAGCAGTTAATAATCAAAACTGGAATGGATATCTTTTACATCTTGTCATCTTCAGAGTAGTTGCCTCTACTCTTAGACTTGATACTGGTTATCAAGCATACCAAATTCAAATAAAATCAGTCAGGGCAAAATAGCGGTCTAACAAACTAGCTTCAAATAAGATCAGTAAGATCTTATACTATCAGTAAGATAGTAAGACAACATAAATAATACAGGGTTTCAGTTTAAGTTAATAGGAAATTAAGGATAGTTACCATGGTATAACCTGTTATTTTTGGATTAGCTGTCTTTGCCCTCAAATCTGATACGAGTAGACAGACCGGAACAAAATATAATCAAACTAAACAAAAAGATAAGACTACTGTGGCTTTTAAATTCTGATACACTTTTAACAATGTCCTCTGCCTTCCTTTTTTAGGCAATTCCTCACCTTTCCCCTTCTCAGAATGCTTTGCATATTTTGGGTCCCACTAGCTTCTATAGGTTTTAGACTAGGGGGTCAAACTGTTATCTGAGTGTTGCTGAACCTTTTTACCCCTAAGCTTAATCTTGAGCTGTACTTCATGATAGAACTGTGGCGGGGGGGCCTGGCGGCGGCCGAAAAAAATAGATTCCTGATACCAAAAAAAGAAAGAAAAGAAATATAAATCTAAAATACAATGAGATATTCTTTTTTTTCTAACCACTGCTGAGATGAGAAGAGATATTCTTAATACTTATCAAGATGGCTACTATAGGGGCTGGGGATTTAGCTCAGCGGCATAAGCACCTGCCTTGCAAGCAGGCAGTTATGAATTCGATCCTCGGTACCAATAAAAAAAAGATGCTATTATAAAAATATAATAAAATAAACACAATAAAAACATTGGAAAGTAATAAATGATGGTCAGGGGTAGTGGCATATACCTGTAATCCCTGTACTCTGGAGGCTGAGGCAGGAAGATCGCTGCCTGGACTACATAGTGAGACTGTACAAAAAAATAGCAAGTGATCTTGAGAATGATGGAGTAAGATCTTAAGTCCTTGTACATTGTTCCATTTATTTTGGTTTTTAGTACCAGGAATCAAATTCAGGACCTTGCACTTATCAACTTACCAGGCAAGACACTTGAGCTGGAGCTATAGCTTCAGCTATGCATTGGTTCTGGAAAGGTAAATGGTGCAACTGTTATAGTAACAGTATGGTAGCTCCTCAAAAAATCAAGAGTAGGGCCAGGGGTTTAGCTCAGCCCCATAAGCATTTGCTTTGCAAGCATGTGGTTGTGAGTTTGATCTCCAGTACAAAAAAAAAAAAAAAATCAAGAGTAGAATTACCATATATGTAATTGAGCAATTTCAAATGAAAGCAATAACCCAGAACAACTTACAGCAATGTTTTGAAGAGACATTTGTACATTAATATTGATAGTAGTTTTATTCACCATAGCTCAAATGTAAGAGAAAGCAAAATTTCTATTATCAAACAAATGGATAAATAATAGTAGTAAACACATATAATGGGAAATCATTCGGTCTTAACAAGGGCATTGTGACACATGTTACAATATAGTTGAATCTTGAATATTGTACTGATTTTCCAGGGCTTCTGTAACAAATGTCACAGGCTGGGCATAGTGGTGCCTGCCTAAAACCCCCACATTTGGGAGACTGAGACAGGCAGATGAGAAGTTTGAGAAAAGCTTGTACTACATAACAAATTTGAGGACATCTGGACTGCATAGTGAGAACTTGTCTCAAAAAATCAGGACTGGGCACGGGTTGTGGTGCACACTTGCAATCCCAGCATTCAAAAGGCTGAGCCACAGAATTACATAGACCATCTTTGGTTACATAGTGAGTTCAAGACCATCTTGAACTGAATAGTGAGACCCTGTCTCAAACAAGCCAAAACATCAAAAGCAAACAAAAATATAAAGGATCTGATAGATCAATCAACAGAAATAAATTTTTTCACACTTCCGGAGGCTGAAAATAAAAAATTTAGTTTCTTCCTCTTTCCCTAATAGTCCATCTTCTTGTGTTTTCATAGGACCTTTCTTCTGGGTGGCAATTCTATGTCTTAATTTGTTGTTGCTGTACTGGGGATTGAACACCACACCTTCACAAAGAGCTTTCTTATTTTGAGAAGGGCATTACTAAATTGCTGAATTTCATAGGCTGAGCTCAAACTTGAAGTCTTCCTGCCTCAGCTTCCCAGAGTGCTGGGATAATGGTTGTGAGTGCCATACCCACTCTAGGGTGAGTGGCCTACATACAATATAAAGAACAGAGTCTTCTGTGAGCTCCTCCCCGTTTTGCTCTTGTTGCTTTGCTGTCTTCAGCCACAATGAACTGCTGCTCCTCAGCCATGACACCCTGCCTTGCTTGGAGCCAGCTGATTATGGACTGAAACCTCCACAAGTTATGAGCTAAATAAACCTTTCCTTCATTCATTTTGTGTGTCAGGCATTTTTTCTCAGCAATAAGAGTAAAGTAACCAAGACATACACTAAAAGGTAAATATTATATGATTGAATTTGCAAGTAGTATCTGAAGTGTCCCCAGCACAGAGCCAGGGACCAAAACCAGGGCCTCAACATGCTCAGAGCCAAGTGCTCTACCACTCAACCACTACCTTAAATACTGAAATTCATGGAGACAGAAAGTATGTAGTGGGGCTACACAGGGCTGCAGGAGGAGGGCCAATAAGGAGTTTTGGATTAATAGGTACAGAATTTCAGTTTGGATAAAGAAATTATAGCAATGTGAATATACTTATTGTCAATCATACACTCAAAAGTAGATGAAATGATAAAAATTATTCAGGTGTAGTGGTATATATCTGTAATCTGAGTCTGGCAGTCTGAAGCAGGAAGATCACACATTAAAGTGACTTTGTGAGACTTCATGTCAAAATAAAAAATAATTAGGCAGGGCTCAGGAAGAGAGAAGTCAGATAGCACCTCCTGTGAGCCTACTAGCACATGGAATGAGAATCAAGAACTGCCCCTACCAACCCCTGCCATGGGCAACCAGCTGGTTCAGAAGACAGGCTGAGTTGATAGCAACTGAGGTACAAAAAGCAAGTGGAAAAAAAAAGCAACCGAATGCTTATATTGTTTTATTGACTTTGCAGCCCTGGGGCAGACATTGTGAGAACACCTATAGGGAGGATAACAGCATGCAATACAGAAAATATGGGGGATTTTCTTCTGTTTTGTTTTTAAAATCCAATATTGTATTGTAATGATTTTGTTTTGTTCCAATTTATTGTTTTGCTTTATTCAATATTCTGTTTTGATTGGTTTTATTCTATTTTGTTTGGTTTGATTTTGCTATGTGTGGTGGAATGGACAACTATTGTAAAGACAGCAATATACACTATGGGAGTCATTGTTGGTTTACTTTTGTCCTGCTTTGAAATTCTGTACCAGTTTTACTGCTTTGTTTTGGTTGGCTTTATTCTGTTTTGTTTTGTTGGGTTTTATTATCTTTAAAATAAAAAATAAAAAATAATTAGTGGGGCTGGAGGTTTAGCTCAGGGGCATAAGCGCCTGCCTTGCA